TTATTTACATGTATAAAGACACTTAGAGATTTTCCACCATTCCGTTTTCAAATTATAATACCGAATTCAATTAAAAGCGTCATTTATAGGTTTTACTTTTTTATTTTTTTTACTACTTACTTGCTCAGCAAGGCGAGACAGTACTTCACGTCGCGTCAGCGTCTTATTCTTTATAAGGCGCAAATTCGGCCCCACATGGAGTACTGTTCTCATCTTTGGGCGGGAGCTCCCCAGTACCAGCTACTTCCATTTGACCGCATTCAACGTAGGGCGATTCGAGTTATCGACGATCAAGCTCTCTCCGATCGGCTTGATCCTTTAGCTCTGCGTAGAGATGTTGGATCACTCTGCATCTTCTACCGCATCTATCACGGGGAGTGTTCCGAGGAATTGTTCGGACTGATCCCGGCTGCTGAATTTCACCATCGGACATCGCGCCAAAATAGTAAATTCCATCCACACCATCTCGATGTCCAGCGTTCCACAACAGTGCGATTTTTAAGGCATTTTCTGCCCCGCACAACCACTCTGTGGAACCAGCTATCGCCGGCGGTCTTTCCGAACCGCTACGACCTGGCCACCTTCAAGAAGAGAGCGTATTCCTTTCTTAAAGGCCGGCAACGCGTCTGCAAGCCCTGCGGTGTTGCAGATGTCCATGGGCGGCAGTGATCACTTTTCATCAGGTGAGCCTCCTGCCCGTTTGCCCCCTTAGTCCCATAAAAAAAAAATATACAAAGCATTTAATTTGTTATTAACTGCTTCTCATTCACCATTGTTTAACACCGTTTTTTTTATTACTAAGTCTTGTAATATATAGTACAACTGAGTTGATTGTATCAATATACGAGGAAAATAGGAAAAGCCTTATAATTTAGTCACATTATTTTTGAAGGTTTTAATTAAATAATTTAATTGATTTTGTTTAAGCTTATAGTTGCTGTGCTAATTTGGCTCATATGTAGTAAACGATGTTTTTAATAATTAGTGACGCGGAAAGCAGACTCGACGTGATAAGGCAGACTCGCACACATCAGCAACTTGTTAAGTTAGGTTATTAACTTTAAGTATGCATAAGAAAAAACATAAAATACATAAAGTAATTATTTATCTAACGAAATAACTATTAACGTGAATAACTGTGCAGTTTAATAACAACAACAACTGTAAATTACTGCAACTTAACTAAAAACGAAACGCTTTGCTTAATTTCAAACTATTATGCAAAGATCACTATCAGTACTTAAAATGTTATTGCCATTGCCACATGCTTTAGAGCTTTTAAAATGCCGTTCAAAGCCCGCGGGGAACGTCAACATTGACTCACTCAACCCGCACTTACGGAGCGTTTAACAACTAGCATAACTGGAATCGTTCAATAGAGAATGGCAATGTAAGATGAATCGTGGTTCGTGCATCAGTGCGGCGCTAAGACTGTTTACACTTCAGTGGATAAACATCAATGCTAACAAGCAATAATTGTAAATTGCATTTTTGTAATTGGCAGTGGTAGCCCAGTGGTAACGCGCTCGCTTGGGAAACCGAGTGAAGCGGGTTCAAATCCCGGGTCTCGCACCTCTGATATTTTCATGTGCGAATCATTTCTAACATGATTACCACTTGCCTTACGGTGAAGGAAAACATCGTGAGGAAACCTGCATGTCTGAGAGAACCTAACAAGTTTTCGAAAGACATGTGAAGTCCGCCAACCCGCACTTGGCCAGCGTGGTGGACTATGGCCTGATTCCCCTCGTACTGAAGGGAGGCCCGTGCCCAGCAGTGGGACGTGAAAAAAGGGCTGAATACAATTGTAAATTGTTAATGACGTCAATGGCTATGAAGTATCGTATTGTTAGATAAAGTAGTACTTACTCGTAGATGTGCAATTTGAAAATAACTAAAAGATATCACATGCAGGTGCACTCTGGAGCATCGATTTCTATTTTAATAGAAAAGTGGGTCGCGCTGTTGACCGAGTTTCGTTTGAGACCGCCGCCAGGGCGCGCTGCGGGCTGGCGGCGACGGGCCGGGACGTGTGCACTGTGCTGTGTGCACCTACTCGATACCACCTATGGTCACACGAATAGTTGTAGGTACCTTACTACCTAGTCTTTAAGAAACTGAAAGTAAGATAACAGTTTTAAATGATTATATATACATACTACTCTAGCAAGTAGATATTCTTCTGCTTTTAAATACGCTTTTATTAAAGGCTATACATGATAATAAAGACAGTATCACAAATATATTTCATGATTGCTCACAGATATTGGTAGTGCTTAAATATCAACCATTGTTAGCTAATATTTAATAACACGTAATGCTTATATTACAATCACCTGGTTAACGTCGGCTCCGACAAATTAAATTAGCCAGGCGCGGAAAGCGGACCTCATCTGCCGGATAACAAGAATTAAATTACGCGTTATTGCATTATCATGAAAAGCTCAAACTGATTCTCGGAGAAATATACACCGGCACAGCCGAGGCTTCGCGATGCGCGATATCACAACCGAGTGTTTGCATTTAAATGCTTGAATGCTTACATAAATCGAAGACCAGTTAAAGCATGTTTAATATCCGTGATATAAAATTTAAATTCTATGTAAGTTCTATGTGATCTTCCTAGATAGCTTTGGCATGAGGTAGAACTAGCTCGTAGCGTGGATATTAATTATATATTAATCTTAGTTAATTTCTAAAATTGTATCAAATCAATACCTACTCTTAATCTTATTTCCCTTCATATTTGCTGTTTGTAACAGAAGAAATACAAACAGAAAAATTCGACGACTCGATAATTACGTATGTGAATACGTGAAATAAAATACGTGAATAAAACATTAGCTGTCAGTGGAGCATAAATATCCCATCAGCGAGGAATGCCCGCAGTGAGACCTCGCAAGTCGCGACCCCAGCCGACGCGAGCGAGCCTCGCGGGGAATCCCGCACTAAGAGACTTAAGCATGTTAATAATACAGAGCAAATTTCAGCAAACTCATTTCAGACCTGCTTCAATATATACGTACTACCATTTGTTTCAGGGATTACAAGGAAATTGAAAATAAATTATAAATTCTTTCAACCGCACAACCGTGTTTGGTACTCATAATACTTTCTTAGATATTCGCGAATATTTGAAATTTTAAATAAAACTATCTTTTCGGATTTTTTCGCGGATTTATTTGGATTTTTGGTTCCCGACGTTTCGAACGCTTTACAGCATTCATGGTCACGGGAGAGACTGAGGTATTAGATGTCTCGAAGGTATAGTTGTTACAGACAGCCTACCCACAATTAACAAAATGAAAATTGCACCAATTACCTTACAATTTTTTTTTTATTTTTAAACATTTTTATAATTTTAATTAGTTTTATAATTGAATATGGAAAAATCTACTGCGTATACTCACACTAGTCAACGGCAACTTGTTATCTCTTTACCATTCCATCCGTAAACGATACATAAATTGTACAATGCAAAATACATAAAGGTATAACATTCTTGTACTATAGTCTAATATATTTGTTCTTTTTATGAATCTATGGACGTTGTATTATATTAAACAAATTTTAACCAAAAAAATGAAAATATTAACGAAAATCGCTACTCCCGTTAATGGTTAACAATCAGCAGGTAACAAAAATTTTAAATTAAAATATTATTTTATGTACTTTTATTAAATACTAGTACCTAGGCCACCAAGCTTCGCTCGCAGCTTTTGGTCTAAAGTGTAATTTTCTTTAAAAAGAAAAAAAAAAAAGAAAAAACTTGAACAAAATACAAAAAAAAAACAAAGATAAATTATACCTTTGTATCCGACCGGGATTTGAACCCGGACCCTTATTCAATCTTGCGCCTTGGCCGCTTAACCATAATGCTTATGCCCGAGCGTGCAAAATTATCGAACAGAATATGCTGCGTGGAATATTGCAAAAGAAAACCGCATGAAAATTCAAAAACAAGCGCTTTCCCAGTTTAAAGAAGAATGAAGAAGAAGAAACCCTAATCTAGATCGATTTATCGCCCATTCATGATTATCGATTTTTCATGAAAGTTGTAATCTGATCTCGGAAATATATATATTAGGGTGTGCCAAAAACGACGATATTTTTTTTCTTCGCTCTCACCCCAAAATGTCTCAGAAAATGTCCCAACTAAGCTCCTGTTAAAAGGGGGGCTCAAAATTCCAATTCTAAGAGGTTCTCCATCGAATTTTAAGTTTTCCTATACAAATTACATGGAAAACATGGTTTTTAATACTTTTTTGTCCTACAAACTGTGACGAAAATATTTTTCTAAAAAATGAATGAATGGATCTTTTTTAATTTTAAATTTACTACAAAAAGTTCCATTGAGTCGAATTTCTATCGTCAATATTTGATTTGTTATATAGCTTTGAAGTTCAAATTTATGGTTTTTTTGCATTTTTTAGCTAAACTGTAAGATTTATAGAAAAATGTTAAATAGGAAATTTGTAGTATGTTTAAAATCCTATAAAAAAATGTCTCCGTCAACTTTTTCATATCATCAATAACAACAAAGTTACAGGCTCACGAATATTTACTTCACGAATATTTATTTTTCAAATTTTTGCTTTTTTATTTCTTAATTTTTATCAATATACTTTATAATGTAGTTGAAAAATCATAAAAATATATAAAATAAGTCTGTAACTACTGATAATACAAAATATCTGATCTATCCAATTTTGTTGCAAATTTGATGTAATTTCTGCACCAATTTTTTTTGTTTAATTATCGATACTTCAGTTCTTAAAAGCAACTAATATATATACAACGTACAAATGTTTCTTGCACATTAAAATAAAGCATGAAATTTTACATCAAAAACATTTTCTCAGTCATTGTTGCCGACATAACAAAGTCGCGAAAGAAGTTCTAGTATGAACCAAATGTACATTGTACAATACTTAGTTTGGATTACCCCCGGGAATACTATCTCCTGCAACAAAGAGCTCATTGAACAGTAATAACAATTAACTGCGCGCTGGCTGGGCGCGGGCTGGCTGGGAACGGGCTGGGCGCGCGCTGGGCGCGGGCTGGGCGCGGGCTGGGCGCAGGCTAGGCGCGGGCTGGGCGCGGGCTGGGTGCGGGCTGGGCGCGGGCTGGGCGCACGCTGGGCGCGCGCTGGGCGGCGCGCATGGGCGCGCGCCTGGCGCGCTCTGGGCGGCGGGCGCGCGCTTACACAGACGCACGCGACGCGGCTGGAGTAAACTAAGCGTTGCTCGCTGTATTTAGGTGTAATTAAAGAGACGTCAGACGCTTCGGTCTCTTACACTGAGGCTAAGGAACGTGCTCTTATTAATAATGTAGCTTGCTCTGTGACGCTCGTCCTCGGTGTCCCTCGAGACAGACTTACGGAAATGTTACTATTGTACCGACAGAGCTTTTATTTAGCACATTCATCGCTTCGCTTTGATAAAACAATAAAGTATTACTTCAGAGTAAGGTTTTTTAATACAAGGATTTTATACATATGTTCATTTATAAAGGCAATAAAAAGAGTAGAATACGTATTCAACCCTTTTTTAAAAGAGTAGAATAATATAAATATAATTCGTCATTTATTGTTTTTAGGGTTCCGTACTTAATAACCCTATCAGTACACTGTGGGCCTATGGTGTAATTTTGAGTTACAGCCTTTTAAATTAGGTGGTCAGTAGAAATTATTATATTTACCATGGCTTCTTTTGCATGGCGGGTCCATTAGGAAATAGGAAAGAACGCACCTTATAGAAGAAATGTATTGTTTTTATTATAGTTATTCCTTATTTTTACTCTATCTTTTGGTTAATAAGAATATATTTAGAGAAATTTTCTTTTTTTAAACTCAAAACTTGAATGAATACAAAAAAAAACAAAAGTAAAAACTTTCTGTCATTCGAAATTGTGTGGCATTCGAACCCGGACACCTGCAATTGTCAATCTTGCGCCCTGGTCGCATGACCACGATGCTTAATATGCCAGAGCGTGCGAATTTATCGACGAATAATGCGAAAAAAAAACCACATGAAAACTCGAAAACACGCGTTTTCCTGGGAAATGTCTGGACAGAAGACTAATCTAGATCGATTTTTCTCCCCCGAAAACTCCCACATACCAATTTTCAGAGAAATGTTTGGAGCCGTTTCCGAGATCGCCGGTATATATAAATAAATAAATATACAAGAATTGCTCGTTTAAAGGTATTAGCTGATATGCGTCAGTGATTGCTGGCAAGCGCACTGCGACGCACAAAATATATCCGCCAACAAGAGACTTAGCATTACGGGACGTTCTGAGATTACGATGAGATATCCATGTCATAGTGTGAATATTTGTATTTTCATTTCAATAGCAATACAAATTGTTTAATTTTTGTAATAAATAAGTTTTTAATTAAATAAAATGTTGATGTAAATTTGGCCAAAATCACAAAAGTTTTATAAGCGCCAAGTTACTACTCTTCCGGTTCCGGTGGAGTTAAAATATTTATTGTTGTTTACACAATAACAAGCCTTAGTGAAATACGCTTTTTGGAGACGTTATTTATTACAAAAATCCATTGTTTGCCATATTCGTCAGATTGGACGCGTTTGCCCGCTGATTTATGCATTCTCTCTGTCCATATTTTTATAAAACTTTAAATTTACTTCAATAATCTCAGTTAGCGTAGCTCTTAAAATAAAAATACTGAACTAATTTTACCTAATTTTTGTATAGTGATAATTTATTACTCGGGTCAATATATAAGATAGCTTTATACAGGAAAATCTTTCATGCCCTCGGGAAAACACAATAACTCGTTCTATCGAGTCGTTCTTAGAAATTTACATATCTAACGCTATATAACCTTAAGATACGCCTACATAGAAATCTGCAAAAGCATAAGCCTTTCTTCTAAGGTATACTCGCAATAACTATTCATATAACGTACCTAGGGGGGACGTACCCGAGGGTAAGTCACTATCTATACAGATAAATAATATTGAGGTGTCTGTTTGTATCAAAATAACAGCGTTTTACTAAATGCATATGAAATTATATACTGTACTTATAAGAAAAACATATTTTTTGAATTTTTGTCTGTCTGTTCGTTCCGCATAATCTCCGAAACTGCTGGACTAATTTTGACAGGATTTTCACTGGAAGACAGCTGATGTTATAGGGAGTAACATAGGATACTTTTATTTTAGAAAAATAATAAGGGTTTCACTAAAAAACAAAACGTAACTAGCGTCGAGGGATGAATTGATTAATTAAACCCATAAATATTAAAATGCGAAAGTTTCATGGATGTTTCTTACTCAATCACGCCAGAACGGCTGAACGGATCTGGATGAAATTTGACACAGAGATAGATTAGAGTCAGATAAAGCAGATAGGTTAGATAGGTTAGGCTTTTATCCCGGAAAAATATATGGTTACCGTGGGATTGATTTGTTTTTATTTTTCACAGAGCAAGCGATCGACTATCTATTCCATACTAACCGTAAAAGGCACCTAAGGACGAACCCGAGCGAAGCGAGGGTGAGACGCTAGTATTTTATATAGAAACTGAGTTATTCTCGATAAAAAAATATATAGTTGTAAAAGGAATGTACTATAATAGAAGTAGCATCATTTTCACGGGACAACCCTTAAAAAAACATTAGTGGAAAGTTTCAAAAGGTAAACTTTTTAGTTTGTAACCGACTTCCAAAAAGGAGCCCTACAATATTTTAAGATATGAATATCTAATAGGTAAATATGTATTTTACGTATCGAAATATATTAGATTTGCTTTGGATCGGCTGGCACCGACTTCGAAAATATCTGATTAGGTATCTATTCTAAATGAAAACCTCCGTTTAGTATTTTTTTACATTTTAGTGCCTCGAAGTCGGTTCTTTTTAAGATTTTATTAGTATAAAAAATTCCAAAATTTAAAATCAGCCAAATCCATTCGTTATAGCTGGTTTTAGTTTAGTTTAGGAAGTCTGTGCACAATAGGTGTACTTAAAATCCATTCAAAGTGACAGGCAACGGCAATATACACATAATATACAAAAATAAAAACTAGTTCCATTTTTCTTTTCTTTGAAGAAATACCTTAAGGATAACTAGCAATAATACCAATGAAGCGGCAATACAATAAAAGCTATCCATCCGCGGCTCAGACCGGCCGCGTCGGGGCTCGGGGCTACCGACAGGGACACGAGTACACGTTGCAATGTTGCCTAATGTGAACGTTATTGTATTGTTTTTTACTATCTATATACTAAGTACTATTAATACCAATCTAAAAAATATTAGAAGCGTTAAATTAGTTGTCAATCGTACAATGATAATGATCATACTTAAAGCTCTAATATTATCATCGTTAAACAATTTGGTTTTTCAATTTCTCGTGTATGTTCTGCAAGTGAGATACCTTCTTTTGTTATTTTTATTAAAATTATAATTTTTAACATAAGTTATTATAGTAAATTAACAGGTAAAAACTGTATACAGAGATCCGAATTCATAAGTTCCATAGTGTACATATGTGTGGCTATTATAATTATGTAGACAGTACAGCCGCTGCACACCACCGCGCTGCTTCAGTTCTTGCGAATATTTACTGCTTTCTATTATTACTTATTATTATTTTCTGGATAAATAATAAGTTATATAACAGTATATTGCTTAATATCAAATATCTGAAAACAAATTAAAAAAAAAACACTGTATCTGGTATCATTATAGTATCAAGTGCAAAAATATACCGTATGTTTGATATTACTTAGAGTTTTAGTCATCACATCAAAATTTAAGCATAATATATTGCTTCAATAGATTATTTCCCTTTAAGAAATGACGATAACGTCTGACGTAGCAACATCAACACTTTAACAGTTTCCAACAGACTTCCAATAGACATTGTGCCAAGAAATTCGACACGCGACGCGTTGCAAACTTGCAGTTCTGCAAATATTACAAACACTGCGTATCGAATATTATTTTACTTTAATTATAACTTTTTATTAATATTTTAAGCATGATATGCTCTCTCGACGCTTTAAATCTGAAATGCTGATAAATAACAAAAAATCAATCACTTAACCCAACTTTACATTATTTTAAGTTATTTCCAAAACTAAAAAAAACACACATATAATAACCGGTCTTAAAAAATTCCATAACTAAAAGTAAAAATTGGTAAAAATGGGAACAAACTGAAAACATTGCAAAAAGGATCTTAAAATGCAATTAGACTTGGCCACAATTTCTTTACCTTTACCAACTGCATAATGTTAGTGCACGATTTAAGCTCCCGGGCGCGGGCGGCTTGGGCGGGCGCGGGGCGGCGCGCGGCGGCGGGGGCGCGGGGCGCGGGGCGCGGGCTGTGCGATACAGAGATTAGCATATAAACTGGCGCCCTCGTCACTTACACCTATACATATTCATGCATTCGTGCTAGTCCGCTATTATTCCTATGTAGTATGCTTAATAGGTTTTTTCAACGTAAAAACGGGACTTTAGTACCACTTGACTGTAGTAAAATGTTTTGATTCTATATTGCCGTAGTATCGCCTAAATGAAGCTTGTCTCAATCCTTGGATCAAATATGCTAACTAGGATATTTTGTCGTCCAAAATCATACTTTACTCCCGAGTTATATATTGGCATTAAGCTATGAAATAATTCGCCCACACTTTCATATCAGTGTAATAACTTAATCTTTATATATATAATTCTTCTGTGAGTGTGTATGTCACTGAACTTCTCTCAAACGACTGCATCGATTTTGATGAAATTTTTTGTGTGTGTTCAAGGGGATCTGGGAATGGTTTAGATTCACAATTTGAATAATAATTTTCATCAAAAAAATTATTAAAAAAAGTTTGAAATTTTCAAATTAAAGACGTGTAGACAGGACAACGTCTGTCGGGTCCGCTAGTATTATTATAATTTCTTTATTAAATATTATTTATCTGTACATATAATAAAACTGTTGAGGTCGAATGTCTGTACATAGAAAAAAATGCTAGAAATTTAGATTTTTTTCATTTTTTTGTTTCTCTGTCTGTTTGTCTGCTTGAACGGACTAATCTCCGAAACTTTTAGACCGATTTAAATAAAATTTTGCATGGTGGTACCTTATATCCGTAGTCCACCTTTTAAATACTTTCTTATTAATATTTATCAATTTATTAATATACATAATCTTGTATATATGCAATCCTCATTGGAGAGGGCTAATGCAATATTATCATCTTGGATCTTACCTTAGGTTCAGGGTACTTGTGCAGGAACTGCGCCACATAAGTCGCGATGGACATTTCGTCTGGCTTATCTACTTCTACGTTTTCAGCGTCCAGAAGCTTGGCTATGCCAAGTTCGGTTTCTGCCACATCGAAAGCATGTTCTAGACGCTGCCTGTTCGTATTTCTCTTCATTTCTGCTAAATTTATCAGATTCGCTTTGATTACATCGATGATGGCCCGAAATCTGCCACTTGGATGTTTGCGTCTCTGAAAAGATATTTGAGAGTGAGATGGAGAATTGAAGTCAATAGATATTTTATAATAAATAATGCATTTATGTTGTTTAAAATATCTAAAATCAAACTAAGCCATTTAAGGTGAACACAAACAAGTCTTTCTGAGACCGGTTTAGTTGCTAGGCTATCTTAATAATAGCCATATCCATATCATATTCAGTGGTTATTGTATTGACTGATTTTTAATAAATAAATGCATCAATAAAATAATAAATAAAAATAGGGTAATGACAATTTAGAACGTAATTTTTTCATATTTTTTTTAATTCATCTTAAGTAGAAAGAATTTAAAGAGGTAGTAGTGTAATTAAACGAGCAATCCTAGCCAATTTTAAAATTTCCTTTTTGGTATGGAAAATATCACAATATAAAAAAAAACCATAGTTTTCCTATTTCAATATCACGATATTCAAGTAGAACAAACTATATACATGTTTTATACATTTAAGTGGGAGGCTAAAAAGTAATTTTACGTGCTTCCTCTTAATAGCATTAATCAAATCTTTCTTCATTTTCATTACAGCCCTGAGAGAGATTAATAATTTCCCTTCACCGCGGATAATTATATTTTGGCCAGCGAATAAGTTTTCCAGATGGAATATTAGATTTCTAATTAAGATGCAGCTTTGTCTTACACACAAATTGTTCGATATAATAAATACAGGAGCCTAATTACTAACTTGGCAAAGGGCACTAATAACTTTAATTTATATATTATTTTCTTTAACGATAGAACTATAGTATCTTACGGAACTCGAATCGTCGCATCAGCTTTGCTCTACAAACTTCGCGCGGCGACGACAAGACAAGGTCAGGCGCAAGTGCAAGCGCAGCAGCCACCTACATTTCATCAATGCCAATGTGTCAACTTCCTACAATCATGTAGTATAAAAGGCATTACTTGGCTGCATCTTCACTGATTCGATCTAACATCGATCGACAGTAATTTTAGTAGTAAGAACTTCTAGTTAATAAATTAATTTTAAGTTAAATTGCATTTCTTTGCATTCCCTGGCTGCCTCCAAAACATAACTTGTATAATAATAATAATTTTTATCGTAGATTATCAATATCGAACGACTTAATTCGTTTAAGATATTTATTTTTTATTTTTTATTTGACTTTTGATTCAATGCAATGGTAGCGTATGAAGTAGGCACTGAGTATATTAATTAGTTTTAAGTGTAAATTCGATTGCTTTCACAAAATACTGAAATAGCTTACTGATATTTGTAAAGTTACGACGAAAGCAACGATAAAAACGAAATTATAACATTGCTTTTGTATTTAAATCAATAATCTATATTATAATAAAACTGTAGAGGTCGAATGTCTGTACATCGAAAAAAAATGCTAAAAACCGAGTCAGGGGGTGTAAGAAGAGAAATAGACCAATCCAGGTTATCTTCAATTTTTTTGTTTCTCTGTCTGTTTGTCTGTTTGTACGGGCTAATCTTCGAAACTATTGGACCGATTTAAATGAAATTTTGCATGATGATACCTTATGTCCCCGATCAACATCTTAGATACATTTCATCCCGGAAAATTAAAGATTTCCCGTGGGATAGTAAAATAAACTATAGTAACTTATACAGCTTAATACACAAAAACTACTGATTGGATTTTAATTAAACTTTACAATACATAATATAGTTCATACATCACAATAACAAATAGGCTTCTTTTTATCCCAAAAAAATGTACGGTTCCCGGGGATAGATTTGTTTTTGTTTGTAACGTATTATGTACACAATATAGACCGCAAAACAATAGTTATCAAACATTTTGTCTGTTTGTCTGTTTGCCTGTTTTTATGTGCGCGTTTCAGGCAAAAAGTCATGAACCGATTTCAACGAAATTTGATTAAGTGATAACGTATTACTCGAATCAAGATTTAAGATATCTTTTACTTCAAGAAAATCTTTCTTTCCCACGGGAAAATACAATAACTGGTTTTATCGAGTCCTTCCTAGAAACCTTACGAAAGAAAATATGTAGGTCTTGAAAAGCCTACAGGCCTACAGAAAAAGTACTGAACCGACATTAAAACTAAATGTTGTATAGTGATAACTTAGTACTCGGGTCAACATTAAGGTACCCTTTACTACAGGCAAATTTTTCATTCCGACGGGAAAACACAATAACTGCTTTTATCGAATCGTCCTTAGAAATTTATATGGTTAACGCTGGCTCAACCTTAAGAGATATATACATTGTACTAGAAAATTGTGTCTTAAAAAGGTCTATAGAAAAGTTTTCAATAGTATATGTCTATCTCCTAAGATACACTCACTATAACTATTTTCATTATTATATATTTTATATTACTATTTTATTATACGTTATTTATTTTATCTATTCGATATATCTATCTTAATATATATATATATATATATATATATATATATATATATATATATATATATATATATATATATTCTGTACGTGTGTCTGTTACCTACTCCTTCTAAATGACTGGACCGATTTGGATAAAATTTTGTGTGTATCTCTTAATGGGATCCTGGATGGTTTAAAAATACAAATGGACCCGGTAAATGGCACTGCAGTCGGTGTGCCACTGATCATCTCCTAAAGGACAGGGAAGATTTTAATGATATTTTTTTTGTATGTTCGAGTGGGTCTCTGCAAAGTTTACAAATAGAAATGGATCCTGTAGGTGGCACTGCAGTCGGTGTGTCATTAAATTTTCATAAAAAAACTCCATTTTCCAAACAATAAATAAATTTCAATGGTTGATTAAATAAAATAAAAATCGATGTGTATATGTATGTTTCCTATGGACTCCAAAACAGCTAGAGCGATTTTGATGAAATTACCAGGTCTTCAGATTAGCCCAGCGGGTGATCCTGTGAATTAGGCTAGCGATCGGAAGTTTGGACGCGGGCAAAGCTGCGGGTACTGCTAGTAATATATAATACGATACGTACATAAGATGTAGTAATGGTTCGGGAGCCAGGTACAAATTTGGCTCCCGGACTATAAGCTTAAGTTTAAAATATAGCAGTAGTAGATTAACTAAGAATAGTCAAGAAATGAAGAACTGTTTTAAAAAGTGCCTAATCAGCGATGGGCACAGAATTCTTCGTAATATGTACTTCGTAAATACAATGCTTGTATACAAATGAGAAAAAGGTAAGCTTTATCTGGTGGCAGATGAAGCCGCAGAGACGCGCGCAGAGAGCCCGCGGCGCGGCCCGCCACGAGATATCTTTTATACCCTGTAAAATTCACATTTCGCTTCTCATTACACAGCCCCGACGAAACCCAGGGCTAATAAAATATGAATATTTTTATTTTCTCTTAGAAGTCGGAAAATTTTATTAATAGCTTACTTTATTGTTAAACACGTACAACTCCCGTGGACCCTGGGCTCTACTTGGTACTATCGCAGTATCAAGCCTTAATCTTGGAATAACTAAAATACTTTTTTATAAAAAACGTACATATACCTTCATACCGGGTACCCTCACTACTATTGTATACACACCTAGAAATAGATTTATACTTCACCTTAAATTCCCCGTGCCAGCATATTGAAAGTGGTATTTGCAGACGAAAACTTTAGAGTTGAGACTCGAAGTTTCCAAAACCTTCACTCTCTTTCCAAAACGAACTAACTTCTAATCCAAAGCCAAAGGGCAACCACTGCACAGTGCATAATATTAAAATATATCGCACTTTCAAACTATCTAATATTAAGATATTATAACTAAAACATTATTGTGCAATGAAAATAAACGCGGGACGCACAATGTTTGTTACTTAAAAAATATTCAACTTGATTGCTTTCAGGAGATAATTTTTCTTAAGGCGGCGTATTGTGAATAATCGCTATTGATTTCTGTTTTAAATAAAGAAAGTAGGTCGCAAAGGTGTTCGTTTCTCAGAAGATTCACCGCGCGGAGCACACGCGGGACCACACTTGCTCTCAAGAGCTATGACGCTGAAGGCCGCAAAGTAATAACATATTACTCGTAATTGCAATATTATGTTTAATGAGGCTCTCATACGATCATCGCGAGTGCATTTATTAACTTTAAACTTATGATGATTCTTATATTTTGTTTGTCGAAATTGATTGAATCCAATTATAACAGTTCTGAAATATTACTTAATAATTCTTATCAATTAAATTTCAATATAAATTCTTACATATCATTGGCCCGATATAGGCGACCGCAGGCATGACGTGAAGCGACGCATTTAATCGAGTCCTAAATTTGGTGAGAGTTGAAACTGAATGGTAAATTACATCTATACATATAATAAAATTCTAACTGAGCCGTATCTGTACATGAAATATTTTTAGGAAAATCTTATTAAAATAGATTATCGATACAGAGGCCGAATCTTTGATTTTTAGAATTTTCGTCTGTCTGTCGGTTACCGCATCACAGAAAAACCACTGGAGAGATTTTATTGAAATTTTGTATGGCGATAGCTGGTTATCCGGGTTAACATATAGGATACTTTTTACCCTGGGAAAATATTTCATTTCTGAGAAAAAATACATAAACTGCATTGTAAGAGTACACTAATATGTAAAACCTAAGAAATTGATTTTTGGTCATCTGAACGTTTACAAACTTAATTTAATATTTTATCAAATATAAAAATTACATCAAGTAGGCATTATGACATAATATGACATGCGTGCTATTAGTATCCTGCATTTGTTTTGAAAACTAAAGTCTGATTTTTAGTTCGACGGAATTCTAACATTTCAGAAGTTTTGTCAGCTTTGAAACACTGTCACTAAAAACGGAAAGCATTTTAGCAAAATAAAAAAATAAACCTTTCTTGAATTTAAGGTTTCAAGTAGAAAAACTAAGACTTAAAAAATTATTGATAACTCTAAAATGGTAATTATTTATTTTATTATCATATTATTGAAGTTACAATAATTATGAAGGAAATTATTTTTCTATTACTCCCTGTCAAATAATACATAGGTGTTAAGCCTTTTTTAGGAAAACCCTTTGTTTGTAAAATCTTTGCAATTGGAAAAAGAGTTTCAAAGTCCCAAAAAGACAGGTCCACAACGATCGTTCACGATTTTTTATTATTATTTTAAGCAAGAATGCATAAACCATATTATTAAAGAAGAGGATAAAATATGCCCTTTTAATGATCTGATGGATAGTGTGTGTGTGTGATTCTTTTATAATCTGAGTGGATTATGATGACGACAATGATGATATAAGTAATAATAATTACATGATACTCTCTTTTTTTCATAGTTTTTTGTTATTTTATATTAAAAAATTCAAAGTAGAAAAGGTTTATGATATCTGAATTGTCAATGAATCATAGCTGTCATATTTCCGTGGAATTAAAAATCAGACTTTAGTTATATGTCCCGACTCCGCTTAATAGTTCTCGTTAGTTCTTGTGATCAGCACTCACAGTGCAGTGTAAAGAAATACCTACTTGCAAACTTTCGAATTTATAACTCTAAATTTTTCCGCAGCTTTTTAGATTTATAACTCTTAAACATAGTCTTTATCAATGCCCACGATGAAACCTATTCCCTTGCCAAATTTCATCGAAATCTGTTCAGCGAGTTAGACAGTTTGAGTTACTTCCACATTTATAACATTAGTGTGATGTGATTGTACGATCAATTTATTAGCTGCCGGCTACAAGTAAAAAATATATTATATATCTGCATATAATAAAATTTATAACTTGATCCCTTCGCTATTACTTTTAATATAATACATATTTACTATTAAAACGCCTTTAAAGAGTTTACAGAAAGTATGACTTGTAAAACTCTTTCTAGTTTGTGTTATACAAAGAAGTACATTTCTCTTGAAGAGGCCACAAAAGAAACTCCTTTGAGTGCAGTTCAACGGCGAATCCGAGAAACATAAAGTATTGCGAAAATTGTTTTTCAAGAACTTCTTATCTTTGCTCAAAGGTTAATTTTTTACTTAAACACAGCGTATCCGTTTTATTTCTTCATGCAAAGTTATTTAATAAGAAGCGGTTAAAATTCATAATTTCTAATTATTTTAGTATAATAATATATTTTAAAGTACTGAACTGGTGGTACTGAACAGTGTTAGTTAATTTATCTTAAAAAAAGCATGCAATGCCATTATTTATATATATATATATATATATATATATATATATATATATATATAAATTTAATGTAAGTTTTAAAAACAGCTTTATTGAAATCCTTTCGTTTCTTAAAACTTACAATATGTGTTTCAAAATCTAAGCAATTAATACAAACTTAACAACAAATTAATAATATAATAATTACATTTAATATTTACCCGACTGCAAGGAAAGGGTTATGTTTTTCGCGCCTATCTTTGTATGTTTGTAATGTTGTCTTCCAAACCATTCGATGGATTTCTTTAATTAAGGTATCGCTAGATTCGTCTCATTAGTCCAAGTATTCTTAGTTAGGTAACATAAAAAAAATTAAATATGGGGGCTGCTTAATTCCATAATGTGAAAAAGAACAAAATGAAAATAGACGAACTATGCCAAGTGGGGTATCGTTGAATAGGTATTTAAAAATCATTTTTAGGTTTCTTTCATCATTTTTTATTTTAAATAACAATTTAGGATATATAGTAATATAAAGTTGGTCAACACCCATTCTCGTATATTTTTCTACTTAAATATATTACCTATAAAAATAAAAACCCGACTGCATAAAGCTAACTAAAAAGATGAAAACAAGTTCACGAAGGAATACAGTATTATGCAGTCGGAGACATACTCGTATATACGAGTATGTACATGTTGCGGCAAGGATGAAACGTGTATGTCTCCGAGTGCATAATACTATATTCTTTCGTAAACTTTTTTCATCCTTTTTTACCAAAGGTTTTATTACCAAAGTATTTAGCTATTTATCAATTGTAAAATGAATTCTGACTTTGTGGAAATAGAGGGAAACAAATCCTCATAAGCTCTTTAAGAATTATTACAAAGGTAATATGTAAAACCGTATTATTTGTCAGTGGCATAAATTTTTGTTAAAAGAATGAAAAAGATTAGAAGATTTTATTATAGATGAGATCGAGAATATATTATAATAATGAGACTACTTTCTCAACCAGAAGCAGTTATAGCTGTATGGCTCTGTTGCGAGACTCGTAGCGTCAAAGGCACGTTTCTTGTTGCGTGTATCATGTGTGTGTTGTTACGAGTTGTTGCGAGTTGCGGAGGTCGTCTATTTGTCGACATCTACAAGTTCGCGCCGAGCTGCGAGTTGGCGAGCGATGAGCTGTGGACTTGCAACTTTGATCGCTGCATCCGACCGATATAAACTTAGTTAAATGAAAATTATTATACTTAAAGACAAATACTATTTACTGTTAAAGTTTTTGAAGTTGTAAAATATTATTCTAATTATAACATAGCTTGACTCATTTGAGGAGAATTAAGCCTTTGCAATCCTACCTGTATACTAATAATAATATCGCATACTGCCATAGCGTACACTATGGTACGTTTTATTATCTATACTATAATAAAACTGTAGAGGTTGAATGTCTGTACATAGAAAAAAAATCTAAAAATCGAGTCAAAGGGTTGTAAGAAGAGAAATGAAACAAATCCAGATTTTTTCATTTTTTTTTTGTTTCTCTGTCTGTTTGTCTGTTTGTACGGGCTAATCTTCGAAACTGTTGGACCGATTTAAATGAAATTTTGCATGGTGGTAACTTATATACCCGGTCAACATTTTAGATACTTTTCATCCCGGGATTTTTTTAATTTTCCGGGATGAAAAGTATATTATATGGAATATAATTTTAAGAAAATATAGTAACTTATACAGCTTAGTACACAAAAACTACTGATTGGATTTTAATAAAACTGTGCAATAATATAGTTCTTACATCAGAATAACAAGTAGGCTACTTTGTATCCTGGAAAAATGTACGGTTCCCGTGGGATAAATTTGTTTTTGTTTGTCTAGAGGCGAACCCCAGCGAAGCGAGAGTGAGCCGCTAGTCTTATATATTTATTGTATATTTATGTTGACTGAAAATTCAAGTAAAAATCGTATCGAGTTATATTAAAATGTATCGAGTAATTTTGTACGCTAATCAAATGTTCTCTAATTATTTTGTTCTTTATGTAAATAAGTTCAATATACTCATATTATAAAAGTTAAAGAAAGCCTGTCTACCTGCAAGTTTTCAAGGTCTAAAAGGAGAACATGAGATTGTAGGACGGACGGTGTAACGTTATTTTATTGTATTATGAAACTTGAACTTCAAAAGAAACCTTATTAAATTCCGATCCTCCACAAAGATGTTATTATGATATAATAAAGTTAAAAATCATCATGCAAATGTTGGCCGCAAAAAGTATTTTCACGGTACACTTCACGTAAAAATGTAGTTATTGTAGCGACAAAGCGGCCGGCGCAGTACTCAGTAGGCGCGAGACCACTCTACTTTAATATTTAAACCCTGAAATTTCTTTTTCGAAATTATCATTGCATAAATTCTTCGTCGATAAGTTAAATAGATTGATTTTTTCCTTCAAGAGTCAAGGAAAGAAGTTTTCTTTAAGAGCCAACAGAAAACCTTCTTTTCTTAACAATAAGTAAAAAAAAAGATAATTCTTTGAAAGATTTACAATTACTACCCCTCAATATGCATTCACGCAACGGCTTCTTATGCAACAGTGGAATAGTATCGTCACGCTACGAAAACCTACGAGAATGAATCACGTAGCCTTCGTAGCACACGTCTACATGAACATGTCCATACGTCGCGTCGGTCCGATTTAAATCAGTCATATTATCTACTAGTATCCATACTAATATTATAAATTCAAAGTGTGTTTGTTTGTTTGTCTTTCTTTCACGTCGAAACGGAGTAACGGATTGGCGTGATTTTTTGTGTGGAGATAGTTGGAGGGCTGGAGAGTGACATAGGCCACTTTTTATCGCGGGGGATTATCTTATTCCCACGGAAAAACACATTATAATACATTTCAAAAAAATATATGATCAGAAGTACTTAAACCTTGGTATTTGTTGGTTCAATAAAATGAATTAAATAAGTGTTTTAACATTTTTCGAATTTCATCCCATAACGGGGTAAAATAGCCGATGAAAGTTTTGTATGAAACCTACCATTTTAGAGTTTTTTTGTAGTTTTAGTGCGAGTGAATCCGCTGGTTCTGCTAGTACTTTATGTATTTCTTTTTTTTATTTAATATCCTGCAAAAAGTGGCCCATGTTGCTCTCCAGCCCTCTATCTCCACACAAAAAATCACGCCAATGCGTCACTCTGTTTTGACATGAAAGAAAGACAAACAAAAAAATAAACAAACAGACACACTTTCAATTTCTTATACAAAGTATGGAAGTATGAATATACGTGCACGTATGTATCTATACATATAATAAAACTGTAACTAAGCCGAATCTGTACATAAAATATTTTTTGGAAAATCTTATTGAAATAGACATTATTATCGATACAGAGGCCGAATTTATAGTTTTTAGAATTTTTGTCTGTCTGTCTGTTACCGCATCACAGAAAAACCACTGGAGGGATTTTGATGAAATTTGGTATGGTGGTAGCTGGTTATCCGGGTCAACATATAGGATACTTTTTACCGCAGGATAATATCTTATTTCTGAGAAAAAATACAAAAACTGTATTGTAAGAGTATACTGATATGTAAAACCTAAGAATTTGCTATTTGGTCATCTGAACGCGGGCGGAGCCGCGGGCAATGCTAGTTGTAAGTAAAGTCATGCGAAACCGTAACGTCATCGACATTGCATTTAGCAATAATTTTATTTATCTTTCGACCAATCACTAGTTATATTTTTATAAGTTAGCTCAAAATCCTTTGTTTTTAAGCTATACTTTAACAAGCAAAGACCCTGACGGGAGTTCCCCGTCTCGTTGGCAATAGAGAGAAGCTTAAACATATTTTTTATATACCTAACATCGTGAAGAAAATATTTTCAAATCCTTTCGTATTCACCTTATATAATTTCCTTAATTTTTCAATAATTTAAGATTTTTATGCAATTTGTCGTCTTCAGCTAGTAGTAGTTAAGTTGAATGAATTACTTGAGTGCTAACTTTGTACCAACATCAAAATGTATGTGTTGTTTTTTTACGACGTTTCGAATCATTAACTCATCTATATACTTTATAATATACAAAGAAATAAATAACGAGTTTAATCAGAACTTGTCTCAAATTTCACGCCAGCTGCAACATAGAGTACAATCAGACAAAACCTCTTTATTTTTTATGGATAAAACAAATTACTTTAAAGTAAAGACCACAATTGTACAGAAAAGTAAAAACTGTAATGCTTTTACCCGGATGTTTTTAGATAAAATAAAACACGCGAAAATATTAAAAGGCATTGTGCGGCTGTCGCCGACGCTGTTTGCCGCCTCTTAACTTGATTTGTGCTTGCAACTGCGACGGCTTTGACGCGCTATCTCGTTACTCACATTGAAGAATATTCCATTGAAATAACACTTTCCTGTCAAACATTAAATAAATAATTAAGTTTTATTGTTCTAGAACCTAGAAATTGTTTATTGTGATTTTTAAATGGTAACAAAATGTAATCAAGTGGTAGCATTAAATACTTTTAAGAAAGTATGCTGACTTCCTTAGAAATATCCATTTTTGTTTTAATTCGAAAGTTTAAAATTAACAAACTTAGTTAAATAAATCACATTATAATTTTCTTCTATCGATACATGAAGCATCGTCTTAGAGGCCACCGCGTCGCCATCGAGCGTGGCCGTCGCGGCCGATATTAAAATCTGTCAATTTAACAAAAGAGAGTGGGAAATTGGGGCCGCGCTAATGGCGGCGCCTGACAGCGATTAATGTGCCCGGCCCCGGAATTAGAACGCGGAGCGACACTACATACATTAAGCAAATGATCTCCCGACACTCGCCGTCAGCCGCGACGCCGCACGGTGCCTGACGGTCGAAAGTATTCACAGTAAGTGTAAGAATGATGTACTATAAAAATCATATGATGATAGATCATACGCTCAATTCTAAATGCAGTTAAAATTGAGAGTTTAAGGCATTTTAGGTTAAGGAAGGGTTAATTGTATTCTATCATTACAAACCTCTGCTCCTCTTCTTAAGGAGCGATTTTCGCAAAAGCAAGCGTTATAATGAATCAACTTCGGCGTCGTTAGTCCTCTCTCCCGCAGCGCCTTGATACGTTGTAATTACGGGATGCGACGGTTTCATTAACTGAGGCTTTAAGTTTTTGGGAAAATGTAAATTGCACCGAGAGGCTTCCCATTGTTCGCTGCGCCGACCGAAATGGTCTGACCTGCAATACGTCTATTATTATTATTTTCTGACACTATTTATTAGACTATTTTAAATAGTTACACTGAAAATCATAATTTAACATTCAGTATGTATTCAATTTCACACCTATTCATCTACGCAAATGGTACGAAATGGCTGATTCTGCTCGCCGCTGTACAATAAACATTACGAGACGACATCCGACAGTCGCTTTCTATATAAGTGCCCGCGCTTTGTCCATCCTCTCCCTTTCCGGTAAATCTCCTCGTGCTTGCCCCCGCGAGCCTTTGTGCAGTCCCGCACGCAATCATAGCCATTCAACGAACGACATCGTTTTGTCAAGCTTTTCCTGGCTCATTGAAACCGTGAGATCTAAAATACCGTTATTATCAAACGAAGTTTTTGATCATCATTAAACCCGCACATTAGTACCAATTATGATTAAAAATATTTACATTTATACATTTTAATAAAACATTTAATAGCTATGTTAGTATCAATGAAACAACCTAAACTAACGACCTACCCTCGCCTAGCTCGGGTGCGTATACACATGCTATTACAGATTTTTCTGTAGGTCTTTTTAAGGCCTACAATTTTCTAGTATATTGTTTTGATGTACCTCTAATCTCCACCAAGGGTCAAGCGAGCGTTAGCCATGTAATCGTACAAAAACAGTTTTTTTAACAATACACCGTCTATGCTCGGTTCTCTTCTCGTCTTACGTCTATCAGTAGTCTATCAGTAGTAGCGGGAGAGACGCGCGCAGCTCACTAACACGGCTTTTCATAACAATGGCGCTAATGTATCGGGACTCCTCGTGAGAGCTTTACAGTTAGTTTTTTAAATAGCTTTACAGCTAGTTTTTTAGTATATACTAACGATCTACTCTACCTTCACTCAAGTCCTAACTAGGAGAGTTCCTTCCTTTAGAAACCCTCGACGACGCGTCTTCCAGCATCAATCCAAAGTATCACTGATGATATCCTAGATATAATCTTAAAACTGTGTAAATAGTAACTTAAAATAAAGTATAAAACCTTGTATCGTAAATAGCCAAAAAAGCGTAAATCGGATTCCCAACGGCCTTCTCCAGTTTTAAGTGCACTTTAACTTGATATCTTGTTTTGTAAATAGTCAGAGAAATGCGACTCTGTCTCGAATATCGATGGGTTTGTAATTTTTTATTATAATTTGTTGCAATAAATTTGATATAGACACTTCGGCATCGACATCGGCCGCAAAAATTTTATTGCTTAGTATTTCTATAGTTTATTATTATGTAAAATATATATAATAGATATTGAAATGATAGTAGCTAAAAAGAGTTTCTTTTGAGGTCAGATATCGGTACGATTTAACCGACAAATTCATTAAATCGTACCTAATATGTTTTTTAACCGACTTCCAATTCCAAAAAGGAGGAGGCTCTCAATCGTCGGAATCTTTTTTTATGTATGATCACCGATTACTCGAAGACGCCTGAACCGATTTGGAATATTATTTTTTTGTTTCAAAGGGTATACTTTCCAGGTATCCCATATAAATTTTATCGAAGTCGAGCTCGGTCGGTCGGTTTTAAAAAATCAACAATAATTTTTTTTAAATAAATTGTTTAATCAAATATGTTATTAAAAAACTTTCTTCTTACAAATTACCCACGCCTACACTAAAAATGAAAAAATAAAAACTTTTTAACAAAAAATAAAAACCGACTTCCAGGCACTAAAATGTAAAAAATAACTAAACGGAGGTTTTCATTTAGAATAGATACCTAATCAGATATTTTCGCAGTCGGTGTTAGCCTACAATATTTTAAGATATGAATATCTAATAGGTAAATATGTATTTTACGTATCGAAATAATATATTAAATTTGCTTTGCATCGGCTGGCACCGATTTCGAAAATATCTGATTAGGTCCGCTGAGTTTCTTTCGACAGTTCCTTTCAGGACTGAGGTATTTTTCTAAGCTTCTGATAATTTTTGACAAACATTAAGTGTATTTCTGAATTAAGAATATTAAATGCAATTTTTGAAATTTAATTGTTTAATGTTCAAAGCAATCAAAATACTTTTTGTAATAACCTAAAATCACCACATTTTTTTAATTCGTGTATGTTTGATTACTACAAATGTAAAGCAAAACCGACACAGACTACAAGTACGCACCTACCTATTACTAAAAACATACAAAACGGGCCCAGAATCGATTTTCATCGGCTCTGACATTATCGCGTTATCATCAATCGCCCGTCACGATTTAATTCGTTTTACTTACTCGTAGCATCGAGTCTGCACATTATGCGGAATGTCGATGGTGTTGGATTTTACGCTCCGAGTGTAGTTAGCTAACTGTTACCGCTTCGTAGACTGTTATATATGTTTATGGTTTCGATTTCACATCTTCTCTTGTCACCTCACCTCGCTGTAGTCTCAGTTCATAAGAATTGTCCAGTAATGAACAATTACTATGTAAGATAAACTCTCTCGCATAGACGTTTAAAATATAGTAGATAACTCAACTTTATTTTCTACTAGCAATATATTTATATGCGAACAATATTTATACGAATAACAATATTATGATCCTTTGTTATATTTAGACTAATCAATAAAACTATCTTTTCGGATTTTTTTGCTGATTTATTTTGATTTTATGCTTTAATTAAAGTTTTATTTAAAATAATATGATCAACAAAATATTTTTGTTTACGTAATGTCACAGGTAGTAGATCGTTTTGTATTTATAGTTCATTGCGAAGAGCTGTAAGTAGTAAGTGTCGAGACGGGCCGGCCGCCGCGCCGCTCTGCCGTAAAGCGTCGGCCCACTCGCACCGTGCCCGTATTTTACTCTAAGTGCCAATTTTCAGAAACAACTATGATTTTTTTCATGAAAATATAATTATTAACAAATTGTCCAATATGCAGGTTTTTATATTTACAATATTCATATTTGGCCAATATATTTTTAGATAACTCTCCTTTTAGTAGAATTAAAAGTTTGTGGTATAAATTGGTATTTTAAACTATAAGCGAAAGTATCATTGAATTAGGTAAAATGAATGAGAATTTCAATCTGCGAGTACATAACGACGTTGGCATCCACTAATGAAGCGGAATGAATTCATTGTAAGCGCAACTGCCCAGACTACTAGAGCTAAGTTATGCTTTCACAAGATGCATTCGGAGACCTACTTATGTTAGTCGCCCGCTCACCGGTCCAGGCCGGTACAAGCCGTGCAGATCTGGGCGGTTACAATCTGTCGTGATAAGGAGCTAATCAATACCTTCGAGACGAAAAAATTTAAATGGAACTGACTTTTTATGATTTGTGAAAAGATAATTTAAAAAGTTGTTATTTAACTTTATGCCTTATTTGTTTTTTTTTCCTAATATTAGCTACTAAATCAAAAATACACGTAGGTTTCTCTGGCCGTCATCCAATTGTAGACCATTTTAAAATAATTCAAAATTTGCATACTTATACCAAGTCGTATTCATAGCTCAATCAATATAATACTTTCTTAGATTTACGCGAATGTTTGACATTATTAAATAAAACTATCTTTTCGGATTATTTCGCGGATTTATTTTGATTTTTGGTTCCCGACGTTTCGAATGCTTTACAGCAATCATGGTCACGGAGAGACAGTCTCTAATGCTGTAAAGCATTCGAAACGTCGGGAACCAAAAATCAAAATAAATCCGCGAAATAATCCGAAAAGATAGTTTTATTTAATAGCTCAATCAATACCTAGAATTGATTAATTTTTATAATTTAACTAAAATTATATATTGCATAAATGTGAATAATTTTCCATAAATTGCTCTGCGGCCCTTTTCAAAAGACACCTGGAAACAGAGCTGAGTCTTATTAACAATTGAGCAAACATTGCACAGTCGCAAGTTGCAGGACCACCGGGAACTTGGCATTGGCTCATGTTAGAAATATAATATTATTTATTCTCTAGTGAAACATAACCAAAAGCGGGCAAGCTCTCTTAGAATGTTTCTTTCGTATAATAAGGAAGCTATTAAGCGTCGAGGTTCTGTTACTGTTTCCTGTTTTTTTTAAGCTTTATGAATTTTCGTTAACTTTGTTTCTTTATTGCTTACTTGTTATGGACCAGGGCTGCATTAATATAATAAAATAAAGTGGCGATTTAAGGTTATATTATAAGGTTGATCAATTTATTTCATTAACTAAAAATAAAAATATTTTATAGAGAAATGCGTCAACTAGATTTCTATTGATGCACAAAGGAGATTGCAAGTATATTGATCGACAGGTAGAAAAATAAACATTCTAAAAGCTTGATTTGACTTCTGCTGCATCTTATATGTATATATATATAATATTATATATAAAAATAAAATATTTTTAAATATTTCACTAAAACTAAGGTTGAGCAAACATCATTTTAAAATTGTTTCGTACACGCAAACATATTTACACATTCTTTAATTTCGTCTAAGTCACCACATCATTATTGAGATAGTTGTAGCACGATTATGCTTCATACTATACCGCGAGAACTATTGTATAGAGTGGTATAAGAAATTCAAGTTCTAATTAGTATCAAGAAAGTCTTTTCTTGGTTGAATTTTTAAATAGGACTTCATCTTTTTGCGGAATTGGAACTCGTTATTTTTCTAGTATCTGTGTAGGTACATATTAATTATTTAATATCCACAACTGGATAAGTCAGTTTCACACTCTTTCACTTGAGTGCAAATAGGTAACAAGCAAACACTTATAACATAAAAAGTCGTAGATAATAGAAATGAAAAAAAAGTATTATTACTGAGTATTTTTAAGGCAACCCTAATACGCACGTAGCTCCGTTCACATGGCAGATTATCCGATGCAAGTAGCATGTCAATACAGGACATAAGTTATATCCCCTCTGAATTTCACTGAAATCTATTAAGCCGTGACAGCGTGAAGAATTATCAAACACCCTAAAACATACGCACCTACATATTCAAATAATCTAAGAACTGAAGAACTGTACATTTAGTAAACTTTACCTATCACTACCGAGGAGGAGGGAATCATCCACTTAAAGCATCGGCAGCAAAGATATGGAGTAAGTTGTAATTGATTCATCGCAACGAGGAAATGAGATGGTGCGCCGCAGTGATGTCTCCTCTATACTTCCGCCTGCGCGTCCGCTCTGCCGCCTTCGAGCCTCGCAAGATATCGGGACTATATTCATATAATTACCGGCTGTCATCTGAGACGACGGCAGAATTTAAATAGCGCACTTTTAGAGTGTACTATTTAATATTCTTTTACAGTGTATTTTGTACTATACTCGTATTGTTGTATAAAAGTTTTAACATTTGAGTTTAACAGATAAATTATATTTCGAAAAGTAATCATTCAATTTACCTTAAGTATATAATGTCATATTCGTTTTATTTATATATGTATGCTTGTCTGTCTCTTAATTATTTTTGAACTATCTACTGTACTAATATTGATTAAAATGGACATAAATAAAACTAAATTTCTTCAGACGATAATACCGTTACGTACCGTTTTCATTTGTGAAAAAATAATATCTTGTAGGATGCAAAGTTTTTCATGACATTTTTAGCACCAATTGATTGGTTACTATGTTTAAACATTTTTACTTATTAGCATCAAAATTGCATGCAAACTCTTAAAAAGTGATTTTTTTAAATATCGAATATAATTATTTTGTTATTAAATATTAGAAATAATTTGTGAGAAATGAATTTGTGCTTCAACTACAAATTTATACAAAGAGAAAGCAATTATCCTGCAATAGAATCTTTATTAAGTATAGCAATTACATGTGTTTATTTTGACAAACAAACAGAAGATATATTATTCACACAATCTTGTTGATAGTGAATGTACAAATACATGGAATATACTAAAGTCGAATAAGCACGTGTAAACGAAGCTACTGAGGTGTAGACGCGTAGCACCGTAGCAGCGTAGCAGGCGTGGTGTCGTCGCGGCCGGCCGGGGCGGGCTGCGGCGGGCGGGCGGGCGGCGCGCAGGCCGCGGGGCGCCTCCGCGTCGCTTAGTCGCTGTGAAGCGAGCGCCGCGACTCGTCGACGCCTCTCCCGCCGCTCCGCATCGCTACCATGCACTGACAGCCGCGACGCGACCCACGCGAGTGCCCCGCCGCCAACGCTCGCCGCGCGGACTCACTCGCCACACACTACACTGTGGAGTTGTATGGAAATTGTGCATCAGTGAACACTCGTGAAATATGTTTTTATTTTAACATAATCTTTCAAAACATAAAAGGAAAGGGTTAGTAAAATAAAAAAAATAGTATATCTTTAATTATGTATTAAAAACATGTGCATGTGTTGAATTACATACGGGTAAAGTGAAAAATCTAAATAAATAACAAATACCACAGTGCTCAGGCTTTAGTGAGAGAAGTATAAATAAATAATTACTATATTAAGAATCTTTTTTGCACGTGGCTGAATAGTATTTATATTGCTAAGCTTAACGAGCTTAGACATAATTTGCAACATAAATGTTTGTACTTTTTAATATGAAATAGTTAAACCACAGCAAGTAACACAATACATATGTATTATATACTTAATAACCAAAAAATAATTTTAAATAACGTATAATGCCCATTGCGATAGATCGTTTAGGATAAGTGGTTTTCTGTATTCAAACTTATTTTTACAAACGGGTATACTCGGTGAATAGTGTTTGTTTAATTTGCTTTTATGTCCCCTTATTTAAACTATTTCATTATTTAAATTCTCGCTTTTGCTAAAAATACATTCGACAGTTTCCTGAATGATATTTATTTCCATATTTAAATATATTAGTCGCAAATAACATATTGATCATCTTATAAAATCCAAGAATAATAAGCAACAATAAGAAATTCTTCAATATGTCTCACATAAAGTTCGATCGTTAAGAACAATAAAAGGCTTCTGCCGTCTGCGCTCAAATCATTCAAAGTTCGTTACGCATTTGTTTCATAATTCAATATATTTTTGTAAGTGAATTTTATTATTGTACACGAATAGTTTCAACGGATGGATACATTTTTTTATATAAAAGAAAGAACGTTTTCACTTACTTTCTTTTGATTTTAACCAAGTTTACTTTTACATAATATTATTCTAAAAGAGAAAACGTATTAAGTGATATTTAATAACTTGATATTTCATTTTCAATATTCTAATTAGCTACTAGCACACCTAAAAATTATAAATAAAGAAATACAAGAAAACACTAAAAGAAGAGCATAGCATGAAACAGGTCAAAATTATCACTATGTTATTGCAATATTTTTAATTTTATTACTTTCAGAAGGTTCTTTACATATCAAGCTTTTGCGTGTTACTCTGAGAACAAAAAAGAAATTATATTTATTAAATTATTATAAGAAATTAAAATAATGTCATCCTGACCGATTTCGCCGCCGCCATGCGACGCCACGCCACGCCACTATACTCGTATGCACGGGAGATAGTACATATATAGAGCAACCTTAAAAATTTAATCTCATTTTTATATAATTTTGTTAGTATTTATCCCTTCTTGACCTAAGGCAATATTAGTATTTGCAACTACAAAATATTACTTTAATTTGCCTATTGTATTTGAGAAATATTATAAAACTAGTCTCATACGCGGTTTCGCCCACATAATAGTTACATATTATGTCCATAAATAGGTAATTACCTATGTATTTATTCAAGATATACGAGTAAGATAACTCTATTCCAAATTGAAGCCATATTCATTTAACTCTACACTCAAAGTATATCTTTACTTTCGAATAAATAAATGTTTGCGTGTGTAAAATACCAAAATTTTTAAATTATTTTCATTTAATAATATTATGGAGTATAATCAAAGAACTATAATAATCATTTACATTCTGCGGGTTCTACGAGTCTTTACATTTATTCATAACATCACTTAAGTCAAAATCACTATTTGTTCTATTAAATTTTACTACGTGCATCTTAATTGTGCACAATTTACGAAATCAAGTAAAATTGAGAATACATGAATAACAATAACGTTATTTTAAAGTCACATAATATCCACCGCTCCCAAAGTATCCCTTTATTACTAAAGCTTCACCCATTGGTTGGATCTGAAGCGAAATTTTAAAATTTAATTATGTTCAAATATTATATAAATATGATATATTCTTTATTGCACAAAAAAAAGTAGTCATAAAAAAAATACATTGAAAGAGACGTGGACAAAGGTGGACTTATCTCTATAAGAGAAATACATAGTATAGGAACTAAAAACTAAATATTAACTCAAAAAACTTTAATTTAAATTTGTTTACATATGGATATTAGATACTGTGTGATATTAGACACTTTATTTATATTCATATATACACTTTATTGTATACCACAGTAATAACATAAAGATAGAAAAACAAAGTATAAAGCACGTACACAAAAGGCTGCCTTATACTTAGAAATTCCTACTTTATTATATTATAGATGTGAAAGTGTGTTTGTTTGTCCTTCTTTCACGTCAAAACAGGGTGACGGATTGCCACGGAAAATCATCATATTCCCACGGGAAAACACGTTATAATACAACCCAAATGATACCCGGGTGTGCAGCCGTACATGCTAGCCACTACACCACCGAGGCAGTATACAACCCAAATATTTATTTATGATCAGTATTACTTCAAACTTTGTATTAATGCTCTTCAATACAATTAAATAAATATATGTTTTAGCATTTTTCGAAATTCATTCCATAAGGAGGTAAATTCACAGTTTTATTGTTAAAATTACGTATTGCTTATTCAAGATAAAAAATAAGGAATACGTGTGTTCAAACATATTATTAGAAATTCGTCCCCTGAGAGGGTAAAAATAATATCAGGGTCAAGTTGAATAAAAAATCAGCATAAATGCTATTTAAGGCTTAATTAACAAAACAGTTTAAATACTTGAAAAACCATTTTTTTTTAAATAAAAATAGCTTTTGGCCAAATAAAAAAAAATTAAGGGATTGCATTGGATGTGGCCATGTCTATAACTGCTACTACACTTTTAGAAGGTAGTAAAACGTCTTACGCTACATTTCAACTCCCGCTCAATCTCAGCCGAGTTGAAATCAACGTACGAAATATATTTAAACAGAGTGATGTCCGAGAGCTGGTGAACATTTTAGGGTAGGTTCTTAAGGCACTACAGAAAATTTTGTAATTGTCCTTGAAGGACCCCTAAATAAGATAATCAAGGTATGGCTGACGGGTAGCAGCACCCTAGCAACTCTTGATTTTTTTTTCATCTAGTAGATAAAAAATTCTATCAAATTAGTCTGGCTTTTTGAAATTATTCGTGTTTAAGTACCTTTATTACTCTCAAAAACCATTTTGCAACAGTCGAGTTAACATTTAGACCCGACTGATTGGTCTGGCTTTTTGATACCTGCATAACATAATATGTAATAATAAAAAAAAAACGCAAGCAACGCAAAATACGCAATCATTTTTATAATTTTACTAGCAGAACCCGCGGCTACGCTCGCGCTAAAAGTACAAAAACAAAGTTACTCTAAAAAGGTAGGTTTCATACAAACTCTCATCCCCTATTTTACCACCTTATGGGATGAATTTCGAAAAATGCTATAATACGCTTTTATTTTATTGTATTGAAGAGCATTTATACCAAATTTCAAGTAATTCTGATCAGAAATATTTTTTCGGGTTGTATTATAGCGTGTTTTCCCGTGGAAATGAGATAATAGCCCACGGTAAATAATAGCCTATGTCTCTTTCCAGCCCTCTAACTATCTCCACACAAAAAATCACGCCAATCCGTCGCTCCGTTTCAACGTGAAACAAGGAGAAACAAACAAACAAACAAACAAACAAACAAACAAACAAACAAACAAACAAACAAACAAACACTTTCACATTTATAATACTAGTATGGATAATGTATATTAAAAAAAACGCGTAATAAAAATTTGGACATTACTTTTATATTACCTCTAAAAGTACTGAACCTGGAATTCCATAGAATAAATATGAGTCTTTTTGACACTTTTTCATATTATCTCTTTACTTTATATAGTAACTTATGGTCCTAATACAACTTTAAATTATTCTGAAAGATTTAAATGGTGATCCGTCGCAATGTAGCTTGATTATATTGCCGTGGGTTGTGCCCCTCCAAATGAAAATCACATGATCATATTTATCCTGTAGATACTTCGCTCTCCCTAATTGATACAAGCCGCTGGAACGGAGAAGAGCACCGCAATAAAACGTAAATTGTCTTAATATAAGCGGAAAGGAGATCTTACACAAAATAAGTCTATGACGAGCGCTCCTGCACCATCTCATTAGATCCGCAAGTGGTGGTGCGGTGGTGAGTGCGGCGGTCTGCACAGAGTGTGGTGTTGCAGGGACGCGGCTAGCGGCGCGGGCGGCGCGTGTAGCGGGCGGGGGCGCGACGCGCGATGCACTGACGCCATGTGCGCGCCGCGATGCGCGCACGCGCTCTGCCCGCCCGCGCGGCGCGACTGCTGCTGCTGGCGCTCCTGCTCGCCGGTACTGTCGCTCATATTTCTCTTGCTCTCCCCGCTCTCTACGGGGCGTCAAATATCACCTCCTCAACTCGGTGTGTGTGCAGGGTGCGCTGGGAACCCGGACGCCAAGCGGCTGTATGATGATCTGCTCAGCAACTACAATAAGCTAGTGCGGCCCGTTCTTAACGTGAGCGACGCGCTCACCGTACGCATCAAACTCAAGCTCAGCCAGCTTATTGACGTTGTGAGTTGCTTTGATATATCCGTGCCTGCCCTTGCAGCTTCGCTTCTGACCATTTCAAATTTTTTAAAATAGTAACTGGTAAAGAACCATATTAATAAATATACGAACTTTAATGTGATTTTTTGCGAAACTTATTATCTAAGTTACACTCTAACTGCATTGTTTCAGAATTTGAAGAATCAAATTATGACAACAAATTTATGGGTAGAGCAGGTGAGAAGTAATTAAATAATAAAACATACTTTAGTACATTGTCAAATATTAATATTATTTGAATTCAATTATTGTACAGAGTTGGTACGACTATAAGCTGTCGTGGGAGCCACGTGAGTACGGCGGCGTGGAAATGCTCCACGTCCCATCGGACCACATCTGGCGACCCGATATAGTGCTTTATAACAAGTAATATTTTCCTTTATTTGTTACTGTGGATTCATAAGTTTAGGTAGACTTTTATTAACTTAATTAAATTTTAGTGCCGATGGAAACTTTGAGGTGACATTGGCTACTAAGGCGACGCTAAACTATACTGGTCGCGTGGATTGGCGTCCTCCTGCTATTTACAAATCCTCTTGCGAGATCGATGTGGAGTACTTCCCTTTTGATCAACAAACGTGCATCATGAAATTTGGTTCTTGGACTTATGATGGGTTCCAGGTATTGTGCTACATTCTTTAATTTAACAACAACAAAACAATGCTGATACTATTTTTTTTTTGGTACAGATGAATTTTAACATAAATTACAGAATATAAATATTTCAGGTGGATTTAAGGCATATTGATGAAGCACGCGGAACTAACGTCGTAGAACTGGGCGTTGACCTTAGTGAATTCTACACCTCCGTGGAATGGGATATCTTGGAGGTGCCGGCTGTTAGGTAAACAAACTTTTAATTGGATATTTATACATGTGTGTGTATTTATATAAACTGCCTATGTGATGTAGTGGTTAGCATGTACACATCCGGAGGTCCTGGGTTCAAGTCCCGGATGGAACTAAAGTCATTTAGTCCAAATCGAACCAAACATTGAGTATTTTTGTTTAGTAAGCCTCAGTAAAAGCCCAGAGTTGGGAAGTTGGCGGTGTATTACCCCCGTGCCTCGGAGAGTATCGAGTGTCGAGTACTCGTCCCACCGGAATATGAGAGTGACAGGAAGCGTGCGCGTACACTTGTGCACTATAATATCTCCTGCGCAGTTGTATTGTATGTATTGTATTCAGCCCTCTTTAACGTCCCATTGCTGGGCACGGGCCTCCCTTCAGAACGAGGGGAATCAGATTATAGTCCACCACGCTGACCAAGTGCGGGTTGGCGGACTTCACATATCTTTTGGAAAGTTACTAAGTTCTCTCAGACATGCAGGTTTCCTCACGATGTTTTCCTTCACCGTTAAGACAAGTGGCAATGATGTTGGAAATGATTCGCACATGAAAATATCAGAGGTGCAAGACTCGGGATTGGAACTCGCTTCACTCGCTGGCTACCACTGCCATTTACTGCCTGCGCAGTTGGCTAGTCTCAATGAGGACTTATTACTTATATAAATATCCAGAAATCTCAATCTTTTCATGTAAAACAGTGATCATCATTTCGGTTAGTTTAATATAAGCTATTCTATAAACGAATAAATAAAAGTTCATTTTTTTATAAATCTAATTTAGCAAAAAATTTTTATGCAGAAATGAGAAATTCTACACATGCTGCGACGAGCCATATTTGGACATAACATTTAATATCACAATGCGGCGTAAGACCCTATTCTACACGGTGAATCTGATCATACCATGTATGGGCATTTCGTTCCTGACCGTGCTGGTGTTCTACCTCCCCTCCGACAGCGGCGAGAAGGTGTCGCTGTCCATCTCCATCTTGCTCTCGCTCACTGTGTTCTTCCTATTGCTCGCTGAAATTATACCACCTACCTCACTTGTTGTACCGTTGCTTGGAAAGTTCGTGCTCTTTACTATGATTCTTGATACATTTAGGTAAGTCAGTACTTATTAATCAACTATTTACTTTTACTCTTTTCTTTACTTCGTTATATTACTTCGTTATATTACATATTATTATCTAGATATTTTAAAAAGTTACTTAGTTGGTTTCTAAAAATAGGTATTAACAAATATTTATTGCATTTTCTTTATATCTTTTTAATAATTTTTACTAAAATTATAAAAATAACTCCACAAATATATTGTTTACTGATATACGAATATGTATGTACTCGTATGTGTACCTATTACGGCGCTTCCCTTATTATAACGCTCTTTACCTTAAGAACGGTTGATTGTATAGTAAAATATTCAGATTTTGTAGAAAATTTCATGCTCTGCAACTTTTTAAATGACTTCAAATCTCATTTCAAAACAAAAAGGAAACAGTTTATATATAATCATGTAAATAAATATATTGCTTGTTATCTATTTTTACAAGATTGAAATCTTATTCATATTATGTAATGTACTTTAATGTACGGTAAACTCAACAATATGTTTGCTCGGTTGTAGTATCTGCGTAACTGTCGTTGTGCTGAACGTGCACTTTCGCTCGCCGCAAACGCACACGATGGCACCGTGGGTTCGCCGTGTGTTCATTCACGTGCTGCCGCGTCTACTAGTGATGAGGCGGCCGCACTACCGCCTCGATCCACATCGCAGCCGTTTGTGAGTTCATTTACAAAAAAATGTAGTAATTCCTGTCTATGTATCCATTTTTAAACCGCTACAAATTACTGTCAGTAGGTATCTATAACTGGGATGAAAAAAATATATACTATAGTAAAGTGGTAAACTTAATAGTAATTAATAACTTATGTAAACTAAAAAAGGTATATAGGTACAGAGGTATATTTTGACTATAAATGAATCTCACTTTCGAATCTTATACTATAAGTCAAACTAAACTTCATATTTAAATTTCCAGCGCGGGTTTAGTAACAAGCGAAGGCTGGTCCCCAATGGTGGGCCCAGTGGGTGTAGGCTCGAGCGGCGCGCTAGGTGCGGCGGAAGAGCGCTCGCCATCGCCGGGTGCGTGCCGCCTGCACGACGCGCCAGCGCTCTGTGACGCGCTGCGCCGCTGGCACCACTGCCCCGAGCTGCACAAGGCGATCGACGGCATCAACTACATCGCTGACCAAACGAGAAAGGAAGAGGAGTCGACGAGGGTAAAGTTCAGCAGTCAGCTACACATAAGTTACATCTCAATGACATGACATACTTCAATAAAGTATATACTGCAATCATTGGTTAGAATTGTTGTAGATATGACGTTCGTCAGGTTACAGTATTCCTTATCTATATATATATACATATACAAAAAAACAATGCATTAACCATTTATTTAGTTAACCGTAATAACGAGTTTTTTTCACATAAGTGCGATGTCGAACAGGTGAAGGAGGACTGGAAGTACGTGGCGATGGTGCTGGACCGGCTGTTCCTGTGGATCTTCACGCTGGCGGTGCTGGTGGGGTCGGCCGGCATTATCCTGCAGGCGCCCACGCTGTATGACGAGCGCGCGCCCATCGACGTGCGCCTGTCCGAGATCGCGTACGCCGCCGCCAAACCGCGCCCACCGCCGCCGCCCGTCTAAACGCTCCCACAACCCACTCGTTTGTTATACTCTACCTTAGCCGTCGCCGGTCACTCCACCAGCGGTCGGTCCGTCGCACTGCGTTTATTATTATTATTACTATTATTGTAAATAAAATTATATTATATAAATAGTTTATACGACGAAATAACGTGATCGAAGATAAGTCGAATTTCTTTTGATAGAGACGAAATAAACTCGTTTGTTTACAGACTGCATTTCATTATCTCTTATGTTTGCTCTTGTCTTAATACCTAAGTGACATCAGCACTTACTGCATTACTTAAAGTAGGTATTAACAATATTCTAATACGTGTAAATATATACAATATAAGTACATACAAAAACAAATTAACGAAGAAAACTTGTATCATGTGGTCGGAGACAATATATATCTCATACGTATGTATGTTTTATCGCAAATTAATTTTAAATTTTTGTAAATTATATTGATGAAAATAGTATTTGTGTATTTATATTATATACATATATGAAGACAACAAAGTTCCATGCCACTTGGAACCCGTTCTTAACTAAAACAAAGATGACCAATTATATATAATTTAGATATTTATAAAAATGCTTGGTGAAAATAATGCAAAATTAGATACATTTTAGGTACTTATGTCACTCATGATGATGATATATCATAAAATTATACCTAATTGTTTAGAGTAGATATTATGCTAATAACACGGACAGATGTATATAGGTCTAACGCCTAATAACGATTGACGCTAATATTTTTTTGTTTGTAATATTTCCATAAATCGGATAATTCATGTACAAAATATAATAAAATATGAAAGCATGTTTACAATACAAAACGTATTATATATAGAAAAAAAGTAAAAAAAAAGTATCAATCTTACGATCTATCTTGCTCATGGATTTTATGCATAAATCGAATTAGATATAATTAATAAAAAAAATATATTATAAAAATAACAAACCAGACTGCATAAAACCTAACTAAAAAGATAAAAACAAGTTCACGAAGGAATACTTATAGTATTATGCAGTCGGAGACATACAAGATGTACATATTTTAGTAAGCTTTTATCCAGTCTGGTTTGTTATTTTTATAATATATTTTTTTTATTTACAGTTTTTTAGTTTTTGCCAATTAGACAATTGAAGTTATAGTTAGCATTTATTATCCTAAATTACCTTTAAACATATACCTAAGTTGTATATATTTTTATTTGTTAAATATTTTTAAGTAGGAAAATTAGCGAGAATGGTTGTTAGCCAACTTTAAATCATTATATTATATCCTTAACTGGTATTTAAAATGAAAAATGATGAAAGAAACCTAAAAATGATTTTAAGTACCTATTCAACGATACCCCACTTGACATAGTACGACGATTTTCATTTTTTTTTCTTTTTCACAATATGGCGTCCAAAATCGGCCATTTTGATTTTTCTAAATATTTATGCTTTTTATGACATTCGCGTCATGACGAATCAAACAACGTGTCATTTATCAAAATCGGCCCACGCGTTTGGTCTGAATAATGCTACAAAGGTACGAACCCACGTATGTACATAGACATACATACATACATACATACATACATACATAGGCTGATAAACACATTACCCTCCTTTGCGTCACGCAGTCGGGAAAAGGATACGCATAGATACCCATGATGTAAATAATTTCATTCCTATATAAAGTACAAAATATTCGGGACTAATAATAATAATTAATAATAATTATATTATAATGGGCTTTTTATTAAGTCTATTCTTTATATATGTAGCAATAAACTCTATGGTCTGCACTATTCGAGCACGCAAGGCCGCCCGACGTCGCTGGAAGTGGACGCTGTCAGTTGTCACTTGTCACATTGCCATTTGCCACCTGTCACACTTACGCGCCCAAATGTTTGTATTTCTCATTTCTGATAAATAAAACAATAAACATTAAACAATACAAAATGACGAGTACTATATTATAGACGTGTCTACTTTAGGCACAAGTTTAGAATAGGGGACATTGCCCCTGGTGGAGTGGGTGGTATTTCTGGATAGGGGACGTGATAGGGAGTCGAAATGTTAAATAAAAATTTTTCCGGAAACGTACGAGTAAAAAGTTATTGAGACTTAAAGTTACAACATTTCCATACATTTTCATATATTTCTTTACCACCATTCGGAGTGGGTGGTATTTTTAGATAGGGGAGGTGACAGAGAGTCAAAATATATTAAAAATATTTGGAGGAAACGTACGAGTAAAAAGTTATTGAGACTTAAAGTTATAACATATCTAACACATTTCCATACATTTCTTTACCTAAATAAGTGATTACAACAGATAAACATACCTTTAACGAATAGTACGCATCCTTTTTTATGTATAATACACATTTTCACAACAATTAATGCTTTATTGTATTTAATATTTTAATAATTTCACAACACAAACAAAATGATCTTACATTTTGACAAAAGCAAAACTGTCACTTTGTTTTATATTACCGCTTAAATGACAACAGATTATATTTGATTATTTTTGCTTTTTCTGTTGGTAATATTAATAAATAAATAAAAAGAAAAATATTATTTTCACTTCATAAATACATTATTTATTTATTATTCGTCATATCTTGGTTAGGTTAGGTTAGAACATTTAAGATTATTTATTTATTATTCGTCATATCTTGGTTAGGTTAGGTTAGAACATTTAAGATTATTTATTTATTATTCCTCATATCTGGGTTAGGTTAGGTTAGAACATTTACCCGGGGGAGAAGCCAACTCCTACCGGGCGCGTCCCCAGGTGGCGGATAGGGGAATGCCACCCGCTTAGGGCGGCGGGTGGTACCGGAGAAATCCGGCGCGGACCAAATGGCTTGGATGGGGCCGCTCGTCTAGGCCTCGAGCCGAAGACGTTGCGGCCACCGGTGGTGGGACCGCTTGGTCCCACAACCGGATGATGGGTGCCGGTTGCGGGACTGTGGTCGCCGGCCCGCATCCGGCGGAGGTGTAGGCCGCGGCGGGAGAGGAGTGCCGGTATTTCGGTGCGCCGTTCTCCCTACCTTCCGCGGCCTAGACGGGGCCGCCACCGTTCGATGGCGGACGCGGTGGGGCTGCAGGGGAAGAGGAGTGTCGGTGTTTCGTTGCCGCTCTCCCTGTCCTCTGCAGCCGATTGGAGGTGGTCCACTTCGGTGGGTGGTGGTTAGGTTTAATGGGGCTGCTCCGGGTACTTCTCTGGCGTAGCAGAGTTGACTGTGGAGCAGCCCCATTGGTTTGGTGGTCTGCCTTTTTAGGCAGACCTGTCGCCGGGGCGCCGTAGTAGTTATGCGCAAGCGATCCTGCGGTGTCCCATTAAGGCGGAGGGGAAGGGAATGTCGGGTTTTAGTGGGTAGTACCGGCTCTTCTAGCCGGTGAGCCCCACATCACCACCTGGGGGATCAGGTGGTATGCGTAAATGCATTTCCCGACAAAAAAAAAAAAAAAAGGTTAGAACATTTAAGATTATTTATTTATTATTCGTCATATCTTGGTTAGGTTATCAGGTGGTATGCGTAAATGCATTTCCCGACATAAAAAAAAAAAAAAAGGTTAGAGTAGAGTAGTGCCACAAATGACTAGAAAACTAGAAAATTCGAATTTCACGCAAAGTACAAATAAAGACAATCATCTGGAGATCATTTTGATAATTGAAAGTGACGTTTTGACATTTCCGAGTGTCTAAATGGTAGTAATGTCAAAATAATGTATGGAAATGTTGTAACTTTAAGTCTCAATAAGTTTTTTCTCGTACGTTTCCGGAAAATTTTTTATTTAACATTTCGACTCCCTATCACGTGCCCTATCCAGAAATACCACCCACTCCGCCAGGGGTAATGTCCCCTATTCTAAACTGCTGCACTACTTTAAATTCATTTATTACTTAGTTTCCTTTTCGTTGAAATAAAAAAAAATATATATAACTTGATAGATGGGTAGATTGTAAAACACTTTTCAACTTCTAGCTTGATACATGTGTCACATTTTGAAATTAAGTATTTTAGAAGCTGGAAATGTTCTGCAGTTGCTTCGTGAACGTCATGACCAGGTAAATTTTCAAAACGTTTTATTACTTTTATAAAAACCAGTCTCACAAAAGAACATGAGGAACAAAATGATTTTATGATTGTTATATACTTTAGAAACATCGAACTAGTAGTCACTGTACTTTTCACAAATAGACCTTGTCGAACAGGTCATTTTGATTTGCAATTCAAGATTTATTAAAGTAATCATTAGCTATTATTATATTGTCAGTTTTTCAGGGAGTCTATAACTGGCAAGAACTAGTGAAAACAAAAGATGTTTGTTATTTTAATATTACATGATCATAATTAAAGTAGAGAAATCCAAGATTAAAAATTGATGATTATGGAATTTATGTATGGTTATATCTATCTAGAACGATTCATACATATTAAGTATAATCTTAGTATTAGTAGTTGTAGTAAAACCAAACACATGTGTAAATTGTTTAATTTATTTGTATTTTATAATATTTACAAATATAACACATTTTTCATATTTTCACAACAGTTTTTGCAAACTGAAATTAAATGTTTTTTTTTTTTTTAATAATAATAAAATATTTAATGTTTAATTGATTTAATAACACTACAAGTGTGAATCAAATTATCAATTACAATTTAAAATTAATTATTTAATGATGTTTCAGTAAATGCTGTGTGTCAAAACATTAATGTACTTAATGTACATACTCACAACAGTGAATACCACAATTGAAAATAAAATATAATCTATTGTAGGTAAATAATTACTTCTTTATGTTAATCCTATAACCTAAATGATATTGTTCATTAAATGGAAGTTGTAATATGTCATGTCAGCTATGTAAGCTACAAGTGTTCATGAAATATATTTGTAACTAATGTTAAAATATTTTTATTATTTATTTGAAATAATCCATTCTAAAAATAGTTTATTGTTATGAACTTATTCTTAATTGTAATTATTGA